CCGTAGCCCGCGGAGCCCCATGGCTGGGTGAGGGTGCACGGCCCCCCATCTCGGCCCTCAAAATCCCCAAATGGAGGCCAAGGCTGGAGGTTACTAGAAAGAGGGTCGGCCGGGTACTGCAGGGGGCCCCCGGCGCAGCGCGTGTGACTGAGGCTGTTGCTGGGATGACGGTCCGGACCTTAGCAACAAGGGGGGGGAGACCCCGGGAAGGTGGGGGTGCTGCAGGGGGTGCAGACTGAGGGAGAAGGCAGGGCAGCAGTCCCTTCCCCTCACAGGTGACAATCCGCGTTTCCTCTGACCCCTCTTATCCGCGAGCCCCTGCCCTTCCGCCCCAAAACAAAAATGGAGGCGCCAGTCCCAGTCTTTGAAGGGAGGGGGTGGCGTCATGGAAGTGAGGGTAGGAGGTTAAATCCCTTAGAGACGCCACCCTTCTCGCTTCCCCCTCCCGGAGGAGCCCTCCTTTTCCTTCCCAGCCAGCTGCGCGGCAGCTTGGAGCTGGTGGTGGATGGGTGGTGGGGAGTGTCAATGGGTATATGGGGAGGGCGTGTGTGCAATTTTTGAAAGCCTTATGCTAGGGGAGTCTTTGTGAAAGTGTGGAATGAAAGTCATAGTAAAAAGGAAAACACTGGTTCTACAAAATAAACAAATCCCAGTATGAAACTGTTTCAGTCCGCTCCCTCCTCTCTTGCCTCTTTCTAGATCATTGCCTTCTGTGACCCCCACGCCCTGCGCCCAGGTGGGGGTTGGTGCTTCTGACTTTTCTTTTACCTACAGGGACACCGAGGCTGGCGCCAAATGCACGGGACTACATTTTTTATTTTAATGGCTTTGGGTGGTGTCGATGTCAAGTGTATGGTTCAAATAGAGTTAAACTCTCCAAGGAGAAAAAAAACTCTTGCTTTGCTCTGCTTCCCACATCGGAGCAGTCTCCGCCCCCATCCGACTCACTTCCCTGGGGCCCCATCAAGCGTTTTTTCCACCAGCCAAAAGACCTCCTGTGCCAAGACATATCTCTGGACTGGCAGCCACCTCTATACACCCACCCTTTCCACTCCCCCTCCAAACTAGAGGGCTGGCCATTTTCCCCTCAGGTTCCCAGGACCCTGCTGTGCACTTCCTGCCCTCCAGGCAGAGGACAGCTTTCCCAGGAAGCCTGGGGGAACACTGGATTCCTTCCTAGCTGGTGGGCTGAGAGGCCCACTCACCTTCACAGAGATGGAGTGTGGTCATGTCCAGGGGTCTGGGAGAAGGTCCCCATCATCCCACTCCTGGCCTCCACTACCACTAACTCCCACAAAACTGAAGTTTTCCATTGCCATGCACACCCCTTCCAGCCTGCCGAGTTCGCGGCCATCTGTCTAGAAACCCGCATCCTTACTTAGAGGCCCAGTACCTTGAAGACCAGAATTCTTGGTCTCTGCTTCCTAAGCATAAGCTTCCTCAGGAAAGTTTAAAACAACAAAACAGGCATTTCTGTGAAGGAATTTAGATTGAATAATTTATTTCCTATGTTGTGGTAGTAATGGGAATAAATACACGAGTTTTTTTTATTAATTAATAGAACAAAAGATGAAAAACAAAAGCAACAAAAAAGACCATACTGCCCAAAATACATCAGCCACACAGAAAACCCATTTCTTTTAAACAACAACAGTTGCTGGTGTCACAGTTTTATTGCATTCAACAAGGGAAAGGTAGATGGTTGGAATGAACAAGATCCATCAGGCCTCTGAAAGGAAGATGTTACAGGGGTTCTAACCCCCACTGGGGGCTCTTGTTGCTATCTCCTTTAAAGTAGATGAAGGGGAGAGGGGGCTTCTCACTCATAACATCAGACTTCTTGAGACAGATCAGTCTTGCCAGTTACAGAGCAAAACAGCTCTGCATTTCACAGGCCAGCGGCTGGTGCCCATCTTCTTGTTAAAAATGTGAATGCCTCATGGGGGTGGGGGATAGCAAGAACGAGTGTCTTAGCCCCAAAGGCATTGGGAGAAGGGGACAGTCTCATCTTGTGTCCTCCACGTTCTGAGAATATCATGCACCAACTCAACTATCTTTGGAGGGGGCTGGGTGATTGAGTTATGGCTCTGACTCCTCTGTGGGGGTGGAGAGTGATGACAAAGGCGGCCATCTGTCCCCTGGGAGACACAGTAGCAGTATAAGCTGGGACAGAAGAGAACAGAATAACAAATCCAACTGGAAAAGGGTTTGAGAAGGGGTGGGTTAAAGAAGGGTCCTAGGTGCACACACACGGGAAGGAGAGGTGGTTCCTTTATCCTCTTGAAGTGACTAGAACTGACTCTAGTAGAGATACCCTCTTCTGCTGGGAATAAATCTCAGGGATGGCTAGAGTGAAGAAAGGAAACTTAACGTGGAGAATGAACCATACCCCTTTGGCCCACCATCTATTGCCAGAACTAGCCACACCCCCACTGCAGGGTTCCAGTCTCAGAAGGGTGTGAGATTCTGATGAAGAGCAGCAATAGTCAAACACCATCAGCCACACTGGAACCCTCTGACATCCCTGGGCTCCTATGCCAAAGCATGGTGGGTGGAGGGTGGGAGTGGGGTAAGGGAAGATTGGAGGATGGTCAATCTTTGTCAGGGAGACCTTCTCCGATTCTCTACATAATCATGTAATCTTGGGTCCCAGCTCTGTGAGGTGCCAGTCTGCTAACCACTTCCACCCCACCTGTGTGTGTAGTACCGGCCACGTTCTGTGCATAACTACACCCACATCTGTAGTATCTTGAAAGTCTTCCATCTCAGGGCCAACCAGAAGGGAAGCATGCCACAGTGAGTTCTATAAAGTCAACAAAATTCAGACACTCTTTAGTTCATCTCACACAGCAAAGTGCACCCAGAGTAGTTGCTTGAGCCAGGTCCATCTGTCCAGTCAGGTCCCGGAGATTACGAACAATCCCTTCCCCCAGCTCCTCCCATTTTACAGGAGACAACAGGATGTTTTTACAAAGATCAAGGCACTTGAAAGAGAGTCAACAATAACACTCTAATGAGGCAAGCAGACTTGTTGGGAGAAGGGAAGAGAGGGAAGAAAAATGGACAAAGGGGAGAACGGACCATGTATTTTTGAGGGTCACGAGAGCTTACTCAACAAGATGGAGTTATTTAGATGAAAGGAGCCTGCATTCTGAATTTAGGAAATGAGTGAGTGGACAGAATATCCACCATTTTCCCAAGCCTCTCATAACCCCACCACCACCTTGAATGTAAAGCCGCAGCCATCACGGAGTCAGGCAGTCTCTCAGGCAAAGATGTTGGTAATAAAATCCAGGAATCGCTTAGCATACTGCTCAGGATGGACAGTCGAGATCTCTGCCCCAGCCTGCAAGGGGAGGTACAGGACAAGTGTCAGGCCACCCCATCACCCTTCCCCAACCCCAGTCAGACCACTGTCATCACGTTTCCACCCCACAGCCTGGAACATGAGTCTCTCTCTTCCCCAAAAATGGTCAAATCGAGACAGGAAAGGAGAGGCGCTGGCAAACTCTCACCCCATGCTTGACAGTTTTGGCGGCATGAGCTGCTTTCTTCTTGGCATCATACTGGGTCAGGATATCAATGAGGCCCATGAAATACACCTCCTTCTGGGGAGCCCCTGGATAGAGACACCAACAGTGAAGAACAGGTAGAGCCCAATTCCCCTTCACTAGGAACCAGTCAGCTTTGAAAAGTTCACCCAGCCTTGCCACCCACCACCTGGTCTCCAGTCCATCAAGGACAACCCTCCCCCTCTCCACCCTTAAAATGTCCAGGATCTCTCTCACCCTCAGCACTCCGGATGGCGTAGACATCAATGAAGGATTCAAACTCTCCAGGGCCCAGGGGCCGATGGGAATGGATGTAGCCTCCGATACCCTCAGGGGAGGTGCCATAGGAGCCCACCAGAGATGGAGGGCCAGTCAGGCTACAGTCCCCGTCCCCCTCTGACTCGTCCTCCCGCACAGGCCCCTCTTCCTCTGGTTCAGATCCCCGAATGATGTCGTGGATGCCCAGCAGAAGGCTGTAGTCCATGATCTTCAGCTGCACTAGAAACTGAGACCCACTGACAAATCAGACCTCTGACTCCCTCCTCACTCCCAGGTACCACCCTTATTATGCATTCACCCCTCAATTTCTGGGGCCCTCCTGGGGAAAAGTAGCATAAAAGTTGAGGTTAGGATGTCTCACTACTCTATAGTTCCTAAGGGTCCTAGGATCTAAGATCATCCTTGACGCTCATTCCAGCCACCCCTCCCTGGGTCACCTCTAAGAGTTTTTCATGCCTCATACTCACGTCCCCTACATGCAAAGAGAACCCAAAGAATAATAAAGGGAGGAGGAGAGCTCCCTCATATTGAGTGAAAGAGACAACCCACCCATGACAGGAAGAAAAGGAAACAAAGAAAGCCATCTCCCAAAGCACCCCAATCACCTCCACATCTCTCTTTAGCTTCTCTAGAAATATTTTCTTCTCCTCTTCACCAATATAAACTTTCTGGTTCTTGTTGAGAAAGTCCATATCCTTAAGAGTGGGTAATTCCTTAACCTAAGAATAGGTAAAGCGATGTACTGGGAATATAACCCTTCCCCATGGGCTCTTTCAGAGAACTCACCTCTCGCCTAGGGCAGCCTCTAACTCAGTGTCCTCTGGGAGAGAGATCTTCCAGCTCCTCTCTCGTCAGATTCCACACTGTGACGCTTCTCCAGGGTCTATCGCAGCAGCTACATCCCAAATCACAACCCACCCACCCCTGCTTGTGGTTTTCAGTCAAGACCCTCCATACTCACTTTTCTTTCTTAAGCAAAAATAGCTGCTTGAATACGAGAGCCCAAAATAGGGAGTAGAGAGTAAGCATTTTGCTCTTAAAGCTGGCACCCTACTCGTCCCCAAACCTTCCTCATGGAACCACTTGTGCTAGTGGCAAAGTAACCATTCCCACTTCCCCTCCAAACAACCCCTAGATCAGTAAATGGTTATTTTCAGGAGCATAAGAACAGCTGGTGACCCCCATCCTTGTATGGAAAATGGCCTGTTCATCCTAAGAAGATTGCTTTCACCTGCCCTCACCCATGCCTCATCCATCATCTAAATTAATATCACTGGATGTGGTGGTTAAGGTGGCTGGATCCCACATGGCCAACGGTGCAGTTCAAATTCAGGACCCAGCAGCTTGAAAAACACACCAGGCATGTGTGCGTGTGTGCCCAAAGTCTCAAAAGGAGAAGTGGAGAAGGGAATGCAGCATGGCCCCACCAGGGTGTGATTTTTCACCTCTACAGCACATCTCTCTTTAGAGTACAAATACCTCTAGCAAATTTAAAATAATGATGATAATAATAATATCACCTTTTCCTTATCGCTGGCTTCCCGGGACACTAGGGAGCCCTGTGGAGAAACCCAAAGATCAAGTCAAAAGAAGTGACTAAAAGAACAGTCAGAATCCTGCTCCTGAGATTAGTATTCAAACACATAGCTTTTCTTCTTTAAAAGGAATCCTGGGTCTTCTCCATTCTCAGGCTATCTGGAGCCTCCCCTGGGCCTGAGCACCCCTCTCCTCACCTTGAGGTCATACTTCCTGTGCACAGGAAGACGATGGCTAAACATATTGCGCATGACGAGCATGTAGCTGTCTTCGTTGTCCACACTGACTCGGTACATCCCCAGGAACTGGGGCAGAAGGGTGTTGCCGTGGCACTTCACAACGTACTGGGGAGGAAGGGAAGAAGGGAGGAGGAGAGGCTGAGTGGCGGATATACAAACTGCCCTGGGGTGGGATGGGGCAGAAAACCTCAAGTAGAGGTTACAAGAAAGTCAACAGTGGGGGATTTCCTACAACACCCAGGTTATTATCTATGCAGTTTCTGAGTCCCCATCTCCTCCAAACTCTTTCATTTGTATAGTATCTCTAAATTATCATTATAATTCTTTAGACAGGGTCACACTATGTCATGATCCTCCTGTCTGGCCTCCTGAGTGGCTGGGACCATAGGCACACCACATTGCCAGATGTTTAGGGTGGGCAAGAAACAGAACCCAGCCCTCCCGTGTGGCCTCAGCCTGCCAAGTAGCATCACTGACCAGTGCCTACCACCTCAAATGGGTCTCTCAGCTCTCAGGGCCAGCATGTAGCATGGTGGTTAAGGCACTGATTCTCCCACATAGCTGACTATGGTTTGAGTCCCAGACCTGGAGGCTTGAAAGTCAAGCCAGGTGCATAAGCCCTCCAGCAAAAACCCTCTCTCATTTTACCTTTATATACATATACATACAAATATATGAGGGGTGTGTACACACACACATATACACACATACATACATACTTGATCCTACTGATCAGTTTCTTCCTAAAAACCTCTTCATCCTCAGCTCCCATTATATCACTCTCCTGATTCACTTCCTCTCTGCCCGCAAACCCTTTATGTAATGTAGTAAGAAGTAAATAATTAAAAGTTTCCATTAGTCTCCCTTATGGACACTTCACTTGCTCCTTAAGGTGTTGTTGCAACCTCCTTTTCATTTGTCTCTACACACTTCTTTTCAATAATCTTATCTACATTCATTTTTTAAAAATAATTATTTAATTTTGTTTATTATTACAATTTTTTAATTTGCTATGTGCTCACCACAGAGAGACAGAGGGACAGAGGGAATGTGAGAACGCAAGCTGCTATGTTTGGGATGCAACCAAGGGTTCAACTGAGGTCAGCCACATGGCAGTCCAATGCCTTAACCACCACGGCACCTGCTGGCCCCTACATTCACAGAATTTTTTCTTTTTAATTTTTAAAAACATTATTATTTTATTTTATTTATTCATTCAGTTATTTTAATTTGACCAGAAAGAGAGAGAGAGAGAGGAAGGGACAAAGAAAGCCACCAGGTCCAGGAGTCGAACCATGGTCAGCCATGTGGGAGTGTCCAGCACCTTAACCACCATGCCACCTGCTGGTACCTCTTTTTAATTTGTTTTTATACATTCAATCACTGTATATCACTATGGCATGCAAAGTGAATCTTCCCAGCATGAATGCACTACATATTAACTCAGTTAAAGATATTATCATATATGTTATCAACAGATAATTTTCCACTTTTGTGTCCCTTAAATGTTTTGCTTTTCTTTTTCTCTTGATTCTCTTCCTCTCATTCTCCCCCACATTCATCGCTTTAATGACCACTTATTCAGGTATGACTCTCAAATCTATATCCCTAGTCTAATCTTCTTTCCTAAATTCCAAATTCATATCCCAATCACAATCCTATAGGTGATTGGGATATGAATATGGAATATCTATATCTAGATGAACTGCAGAAAGCTCAATCTCGACATGTTCAAATCAGAACTTCCTCCAAAAACCTGTTCCTCTTCTTGCTTCCCAATTGGGTTTTTTTTTTTTTTTTTTTTGGAGAGATTTTCACTGTAGGGCGCGTGCGCTCGCCAGACAGACAGAGAGAGACATAGAGACAGAAAGTGAGAAATCACCCCCCAGAGGGGATGGTCACGCCGCAATCCCTTCTCCTCCATTCTCCTCTCGGGATCTTGGACACGCACGCACATGCGCCCGGCGTGAGTTTTAAGCCACCGGGTCCGGGACACGAACCGCGGTCGACTACGTGGGAGTCCAGCGACATAGCCATTACGCTAATTGCTGGTTCCCTCCCAATTGTTTTTTTTAAAGGAGATTTTTGCTATAGGGCACGTGTACTTGCTGGAGAGAGACAGAAAGCGAGATATCACCCCCCAGGGGAGATGGCCAAGCCGCAATCCCTTTTCCTCCATTCTCCATCTGGGATCTCAAGCAGGCACGCACAGGCACTCAGCAGGATTTTGAAGCCACCGGATCCGGGACTTGAACTGTGGTATGTCAGGTGGGAGTCCAGCAACGCAATCGCTATGCCATCTGCTGGTCCCTTCTTCCCACTTTGGTGAATGGGCACCAGTTATCCCTAACCAAGAACTCAGAGGCTCCTGTGCCTTAACTCCCACGGTTCTTCCATAGGTCTTCTTTTCCACCCCCACTGCCACCTCTCCTCTGGACCCTTCTCATTTCTCACCTAGACTATTAGTTACGTCCTAACTGGTATCTACACTCCCTACGCCCACTCTCCAATCCATTCTCTAAAATGCTGTCACAGGGATATTTCTAAATAACAATCCTCTACAAACCACATTCAGGATAAAGCCCAGACTTCTTTGTATGGCTTATAGGCCCCTTTGCAATCTGGCTCCTGTTAACTATTTTCCCATACCTGCTACGGTTTAGATAATGGTTTACTCCCTGAAGTTTCATGCTTTGGGATTTGGTGTTGAAAAGTGGTGAGGTCTAGAGGGCGGTGACTGGACCCAGGTGACTACATCATGGAGAGACCACTTTAATGAACAGATCAATGAGGTCTTGAGACCCAGTGAGTTGTAGTTCTCAGGAGAAGGGGTTAATTCTTGCAAGAGTTGGTTGTTATGAAAGACTGCTGCCCACAGCTTGCTCTCTCTGCACACACCCACCATCCTCTGCATCAGTCAGCCATGCTGTAGGCAAGCCTGATGCCAGGCCTGTGACTTCAGACTTTCTAGCTGCCAGAATCAATAAATCTACTTTATAAATCACCCAGTTTCAGGTAATTCTGTTAGCAACGCAATAATGGACTAAGACAGTAACGATGAATTTCTTGTAGTTCCTAAACACCAAGCTATTTCATGGCTTACAAGAACTATTTTCTCTTTCTCTCTTTTTAATTTTCATTGGGTGTGTGCATTTGTGGGGAAGTGAGGGAGGAGGGTGAGAAGTGAGAAAGCATCTTCCAGGGGGGATGACCACACAGCAATGCTTCCTCTTCCATTCTCCTCTTGGGAGTTTCAGCATGCATGCACATGTATCTGGCATGTTTTTCAAGCCTCTGGGTCCAGGATTTGAACTGCAGTCAGTCATGTGGGATCCAGCTCCCTTAACTACCATGTTACTAGTTGGCCCTGTTTTCCTTGGTCTAGTATGTTCTCTCCCACCTTGTCCAATGGTTAACCCCTAGTAACCCTCCAAGAATAACTCCTATGACACCTCCTCTAAAAAACTCTTTGAGCCTCCCAAGTGCACCTCCTTCCCCAGGTGAGCTGGGGTGCTCTCTTCTACACTTCCCAGAATATTCTGTTCATATCTCACTCATCCTGCTGTGCTGATATTGGTTTGTTGGCCTCTGCCGTTAGAATAAAAGAGCATCCAGGGCCAAGACTGTCTCATTTACCCATTTCTTACTACCTACAACAGGGCATAGTGATTACAGACATTCAACATTTGTTAAATAAATCACAAAGTTCTCTTGGTGTCTTTCATTTACTCCTTGCTCATTGATTTTGGTGAGTTTTTTTCAGTAGAAAGACATTCATGAAGATTTTTTTTTAAAGTTTTGCTATACGGCACTGTGTTCTCCAGAGACAGAGAGAGAGAGAAAGTGAAAAATCACTCCCCCGAGGAGATGGCCACGCCACATCCTTTCTCCTCCATTCATCCTCTTGGAATCTGAGGCACACATGCACACACACCTGGCACGTTTCTCAAGCACCAGGTCTGACACTCAAACCTAACTATGGTTAGCCATGTGGGATCCAGCTTCCTTAACCACCACACCACTGGTTGGCCCACGGAAGAATGTTTTGTCACCAAAATAGTCCAGAAATTCCACATTCCAAGTTAATATGATCTGATCAGAATAATTTCCCTAATTCCATTGATAGCTGACTTTTTTTTTTTTTTTTTTTTGAGAGAGATTTTCACTGTAGGGCACGTGCGCTCGCCAGACAGACAGAGAGAGACATAGAGACAGAAAGCGAGAAATCACCCCCCAGGGGGGATGGTCACGCCGCAATCCCTTCTCCTCCATTCTCCTCTCGGGATCTTGGGCACGCACGCACACGCGCCCGGCGTGAGTTTTAAGCCACCGGGTCTGGGACATGAACCGCGGTCGACTACGTGGGAGTCCAGCGACGTAGCCATTACGCTAACTGCTGGTTCTCATAGCTGACTTTTGATTATGGATACTCTCTTCCAATTTGTCTCAGTTGTGTACTTACCCTGCTTTTCTCCGCAAACCATATTTATTCCTGGTAGTATATCATCTAATTCTGACTTAGCCTATAGTTTATATTTTGCTATGCACATCTCCTTTGTATATTAATTCATAGCAGCTTTGGGTTGAAGTACTAAATGGAAAGGGATATACCTAAGTTCTTTTGATAAGTCGAACAAATAGCAACGCAGAGGCTCTTTTTTTTTTTTTTTTTTTTGGTTGCTAGTTTTAAAAAATATGATACCAAGTGCTTCTTGAGGAGAAAACATAGTTTGAAGAGAGCAAAAGAAACAAGGAGCATGCCCATGTGCTCTGGCATCTGGCAGTTGAGCGATGTCTGAGTGAGAGGGAAAGGAAAAGAATGGGGCTAGAGAGAGGCTGACCTGGTGGTAGTTGGAGAGGTTGCTATGCATGTCAGCAATGTCTTCACTGGATACTTCTTTGATAACCAGAGTCCGATCGTAGGAGATCAGGAAGCGACCATCACTGCCTTCACTTTCACTTGGGGGGCTTCGGGTAAGGGACACCTAAGGACACAGAATAGGCCAAAAGCTCTTTTCTTACCCCTTTATGAGAGATATGAGTCATAGGATAAAGTTCAACGAAATGTTTCTGAAAGTGGATGAAACCCTGGGGTCTGAACAAGGGCTCTTAATCTAGTATCCAAATACGGACTGAATGAAATCAAATGCAAAGTTGTTTGTCTCTACATTTTTTTCCCTGAGGACAGGACTTCATTAGATTTTTAAAGATGCCTATGACTATAAAAAGGTAAAGAATCACATTTCCCAAGACACTCATTTCTCTAAGCCTTCCATGACCCAAGGAATCCCCAGTGACTAGGAAAAGGATTACCCTCATCCCTGAATGGATCTTACCAAGTAGTCCTGGTCATCAATGCCAAACCGATCACGGAGGTTTCTGAAGACCTGGGGACAATACTCTTTGAACTTGAAATGACTGGGAAGATTTTCCCTGAAATAATGGGTTTTCGAGGTAAGACAACAAAGTAACAATATTATCTTACATTTATATAGGGCTTGATGTTTATAGGTACCTTCACACTTACTACCTCATTTGATTCTCATAAAACCCTATAAGGTACTTTAAAGGTGTATTATTCTCATTTTATAGAAGGGGTGTCTCAGGATGATTGAGTGACCTGACTAAACTGTCTGTCACATGGCTGATAAGTGGTTTAAACAGAGCCAGGATCTACCAGCCATCCAAATAACACCATTTCCCAATCCCAAGCAAGTTAGAAACATCCTAAAGTCAGCAATAGGGACCACCGTTTTGAATGGCATCTTCTGATACTAGGAGGACTTACAGTACTCAACTATTTCTTCTTTCAGGGAATCCCTATCAACAGCTAACGGTGGGGGACCAGCAGTTAGCATAATGGTTATGTTACTGGACTCCCATGTAGTCGACTGCAGTTTGAGGCCCAGACCCAGTGGCTTAAACTTACGCCGGGGGTGTGTGTGTGTGTGCCCAAGATCCTGAGAGGAGAAGGGATGTAGCATGGCCATCCCCCCGGGAGGTGATTTCTCATTTTCTATCTCTCTGTCTCTCTCTGTCTTTCTGGCGAGAGCATGTGCCCTATAGCGTGTGGCGAAACAGGTTACCCTAAACAAAAAAAAAAAAAAAAAAAAAAAAAATCCCTCTCCCCCACGCCCCCGCAAAAAAAGCTAATGGTGGGAGTCAGAAGATGGCACAGTGATTACACTGGTGGACTCCAACATGACTGACCATGGTTTGAGTCCTGGACCCAGTGGCGTGAAACTCATACCAGGGGTGTGTGTGTGCGCTCGTGCCCAAGATCCCAGGAGAATGGAGGAGAAGGGACTGTGGCATGGCCACCCCCCTCTAGGGGTTATTTCTCACTTTCCCTCTCACTGTCTCTGTCTCTCTCACTGGTGTGCCCATGTATCCTACGCCAAAAACCTCTAAAAGAAAAATAAAAAAAAAATAAAAAAAGCCTAATGGTGGGGCCAGCAGGGGTGGCATGATGGTTGGGACACTGGACTCCTACATGGCTGACTGTGGTTCGAGTCCTGGACCTGATAGTTTGCTTTCTCATTTTCTTTCTCTCTCTTTTTCTGTCTGGTGAATATACATACCCTATAGTGAATTTAAAAAATAATAAAATTAAATAAAATAATTCTAAAAAAAAAAAAAAGCTAATAGCTGCCAGTCCATGGTGAAGCATTTAAAGACTGTGCAGAAGAAGCCAGATCCCACATGGCTGATCAGGGTTCAAGTTTTGGCCCTGGTGGCTTGAAAAATGCATCAGGTGAGTATATGTGTGGAATCCTGATGGAACAAAGGACTGTAGGAAAAAGCCATGCAGCATGACTGGGCCCCACTGGGGGGTGTTTTCTCTCTCACACGTATGCATTTACACATGCACTCTCTGGCATTTAAAAATAAAAGAGCTAATAGCATGGCACCTGAATGTATACACTCTATGGAAGTGCCAGGCTAGAGAGAGAACACTGGAGCCAGCAAGTGGCATGGTGGTTAAGGGTGCTGGATTCCCACATGGCTGACTGTGGTTTGAGTCCCGGACCTGGCAGCTTACCTTCTCACTTACCTCCACCACCCCCGTCCCTCTCTGGTCAAAATAAGGTAAATAAATTAATTAATTAGTTAAATAAAGTTAAATAATTCTTTTTAAAAAAAGGAGGAGAGATAACACTGGTATGTATAAGGGAATGCTGAAAACTGTTTTAGTGGTTTCTTTGCACAAAACTGAATTCCTGCATTAAAAAGGACATTTGACCAAACCTGTAGTTGACTTTTTTTAACTTTTAAAATAATTACTTATTTATTATTATTATTATTACTTTAAAATTTGCTATAGGGTGCACATGCTCACCAAAAGAGAGAAAGAAAGTAAGCTGGCAGGTCTTGGACTTGAACCTCAGTCATCCATGTGGGAATCCAACCACTTAACCACCACACCTCCTGCTGGCCCCTGTAGTTACCTTCTAAACCTAAAACCTTCAGTTCACCGAAACTTTTTAAATTATGCAGAATTCTTTTCTAGACATGAAAAGCGCAAGGAGCCCCACTTACCTGTGGAAAAGGTGATTGTTGACCTTGATCTTGGAGTTAGCTTTAAAGTCATCTGGCAGCAGCATCACTGGGGGAGGCACCTGGCTGAGCTCATTGATCTGACAAGCCAAACACAAAGAGGGAGGCAGTGAATAAGAGTGTGGGGGCTCCTCATGCACTGTCTGGGCAGAAGTGAGGAAGGGCAAGCCCAACCTCATTTCTCTGGTAACGGTAGCTACGCAGGTGCTGACCAAAGTGAGGGATGTGTCTAACTTCTGGTGCAGTGAGCAGCCCTCACACATAGCCCCTCACACTCCCGCCCCCGTGGAGCTTCATGCTCACTCACAACAGTCATCTTAAATTAGGCAAACCCTGTAAGCAACTCAGGACTATTTTTAAAGCTGTGAGAAATTAAGGGGAAAAAATTACCCTCAAGAGATTCAAGACAGCTACATGCTCCATTTAAGAATTTAAAAATAAATAAATAAAAGGTATTTTTAAAGTATACAGGAGTTAATGGGATTCTAAGGATCCACATCAGTGAGAATAATGAAATGTCCATATCCTGTAATAAGTATCTCCTTACAAACAGGACCATCCTTCCAGCCAGCTCGGACCCCGTTCTTTACAGTCGGCCCCCACCTGCCTAGACGTAAGGTAAAGGAAGAGCAGCTGATTTTAGGAGGCATGTAGACAACCAGCGGATAGGAGCTCATGAGGTATCTGCTCTGTAAAGTCAAGCCAACCACAGCCCAAAGCATGCAAGCATCACGTGCTTGCCTCAGCCCCCAAGATCTGTGGTCCTTTAGATTAGTCTTTTAGGGTAGAAGGCAGCTCCTGAACTTAGGAATCCAAAGGAGATGTGATGTGTGCATTCTTGCTACAGAAAACCTTTCACCTGCCTTTAATTGTACATGTGTCAGGTGACTCTAAACATCGGTTTATATAAGTTCCCCCACTTAGTTTGTGAATTCTCCAAGGGCAAAAGCCCATCCTAGTCACCTACAGCTCTCAGGTGTCTGGTGGCACCCTGTTTGGCACGCAGTGGTCCTGAGGTGTTTACTAACCGAGTAAGTGCACGCCTTGCCTGTCCTTACTTGATCATTTGACAGGTTATGAACTGCAGTCTAACCTAAATCCCACACACTGCGGTATACCCAACTCCTCCTGTACTCGGTAGAAAAGGAGGACAGAACATATTCCTCCAGGAAAAAAAAAAAAAAACCACTTGAGAGTCTCAGCCTAAAATTCAGCTATAGCTCTTCCTACTCCCTCCTTGCCACCTGCTAAGCAAGCTGAATCATCACTAAGACATATGCTCCAGGAATTTCTCCAGTCCAGACACTTGAAGTGGATGTGTGTTGGCTGGAGGGTGGGGTGTTGGGGCTAAAGTACATACACCTAGGGAAGCCGAGGCAGGTCTTACATGTAATTCTCCAGATCCTCACAGAGGAAAACCCTCCTCCCTGCTAAGCTTCCCACAGGGACGAACGAGTCACCTGGAAGGTACATATGAGAAGTAGTCTTACTCCATCAGCTTGGCCGTACCAAGTGCCTTAGTCTGCATATTCGGGACTATGACATTACTACGCAGAGAGCCACGCAAGCAAAAGGGGACTGACTGACCCCAAATGACATTCTAAACCACAGATTAAGAATGTGACAAAATGGTCTTCTCACTCCCTCCACCTCCACAATCCTGCCGGGACTGTAACAATCCAAGGAAGTTGTTTTCTAAAATATTCCCTGTCGCAGTCAAGACTACTGCATCCCTCCCACTCTAGATGTGTGGGAAGGGGGGCAACAGCTGTGTTCCTTCAGCTGAAGTATCCTCAGGAAAGGAGGTGAACTCCTTCTGCCTCCCAGGCCATACCCTCTCAGGCAGTTTCCTGCTTCTGAAGTTCACCAACATAGCAGTGCACTTCAAAAAATGCATGGAAAAATGAAATAAAGTATGAGTTTATTTTGGTGCAAAAAATTCAATATCCACGCATAGGCTTTTCATAGCATGCGTTTTCCATGAGCATTTTGAAGACCGCCCTCACAATGTTCTCAGGACCAGAGCTTCTAAGCCCTCTCTTTGATCAAAGACGACTCTCACTTACACCCAACGCCAATACTCCAGGCAGCAATGGGGATGCAGTTAAGACCAAGCATATATACATAACCCTGAGCGAGGGCAACCTCTAGGCTCGGGGTGGGGTAGCTTCTCTGAAATGCTGTACCTCTGTAAGGGAAAAGAAGGGACAAGCAGGACTAGGTCCAGGAAGCCTGGAGCTTCCTTCAGATAAAGCCAAGGATCCAAAGTGAAGGACAGCGGCTAGAAAGCAAGGCGGAAAGGAAAGTGAACGATCCCTTTCATCCAACTCCCACCCTCCGCCCCCTCCACACACACACTCACACCGGGGACCTCACCAACAACCCCAAAGAGACACTCCCCCTAATGTCCTCCCTGCCGGAGCGAGTCCTGGCCAGTCTCCATAGCCTGGGGCTGAGGCTGGATCTGGCAGAAAGCAGGCAGGTAGGAAGATAAAACCAGAGTGGAGGAGTAAAGGGCGGAGGGGAAGACGGACCACAACTAGAAGATACTCTGGGGGAACACCTGGGGCTGGTGGGAAGGGCCCAGGGCAGAGCGGGGAAGAAGTGGCAACGCGAGGGGCTCCGGGGCAGGGAGCCTGGAAACAGGGACGCCCCGGAGGCTCGGGGTTGAGCCCTTCGGAGGGCTGCGGGGCCCCGGGGCGGGTTCTCACCGAGTGGGCAACGCCCCAGAGGAACACGCCCACCAGCGGGTCCGCGGCCCGGAACACCTTCACTTTCTGCTGCACGAAATGCTTCTTCTTGGTTTTGGAGGCGAAGCCGAAACCTGGGCCGGGGCCCGCTGTCGCTGATGGTACGGTGG